TTTTATTGTCTAGGGGATCATAGCTGCTGGGTACGATGTACTGGCATAGCTCAGATCTTGCTGTTGGGCCCTGGCATCTGATCTCCACTAGATGGAAGTGTTCACTTCCATACAGGAATGAGGGGGGATTGTTTCCCTCTGGCTTTGTCTAGCTGAGCTCGGGACTGCTGGGAACATCCAGCCTATTTGCAGATTTGCATTGAATTCTGACCACTTCAGCTTTGGGGGGAATAAAAAAACCTAAACACATTGAGTCTTACCTGTCTTATGTTCAGTGAACCCGTGGGTGCTAGACAGAGCTCTCCTGTTAATCCCTGATTACACGAGGATGAGGCAACAGCCATGAATTCAAGCAGCATCGTAGGACACAGGCTCAAATCCTCAGGATCCTTTATTGTAGTCCCACCTTGGACAATATTCCCAAACCGTGCCCTTTCCCCCCTTGCCTGTTGCATTGAGGAAAGATGGCTTTGATTTAGAAGAGGAGGTTTTGCATGATCTCAGAGGTGGAATTTGGAAACAGAATCATTTAAAACACCAGTCAAACTGAACGGGCACCTTCTTGCAACATTAGCAAAATACCCGTGTTGCTCAGTAGCTCTGCATTAACTTGAAGTCAGTATTAAGCAGTGTGCAGAAGACAGATGAGATTTAAGTCTCACTAGGCCGTTAATCTCTTTAAAGCATTTTAACAAATCAGCTTAACTGTCTCCTCCCTCCCTCCTCCTCTGAAATTCTTCTTTCAAAACTTTGTATTTTGTCTTTTGAACTCTGTTAAGAGTAGAATTTAATAGTGGGAAAACAGTCTTGTGGAAAAAATGTAGATCAGTTAGAGAAGTTAAGGAGGCAATTGAGATTTCTGACCACGGTATGAAGAGAGAGAGGAGAAAGACTTAGCACTTGACAAGAAAACATTTGGGGGAAATTGAGATTTCTCAGTTACACAATGATTATTTGTCCCGAGGGACCGGGGAGCCTCTCTCTTTCCGTGTTGTTGTCTTTACTGAATGTCATCTTGGAGGATTTCTGTTACCCCGGAACGAGTGCTGGGTCCAAGGGGCTGGAGGGCTTGGGAGATGTGCTGGGATGTCATGAGCTGGTGGGAATCAGCGGATCCAGTGTTCCCACCTGTCAGACCAAACAGCTCCTTTTGCTTCTGCTTTTGGGTCTGCGGAGAAGCAGATGCCCGTTTCAAACCCCCTTGCATCTTAATCTGGAGTGGGTTAGATTAGTGGTATGTGGCCAGGGGTGGGAATGATTTTAGCATTAAAATGGTTTCGCTAATACGACATCTGTGCAGTGCACATGCAAGTTACTTTTACCAGAAGAAACAGGTCACAACAATTTTGCTATAACAGACTTTTAACAATGATGATTGCAGTAACCTTGTGCTCTCTAACTATGGAAAAGCAAAATAGCTCCAAAGATGGTCGGGAGACTGGAACATCTGTCCTGTGGGGAAAGGCTGCCGGAGCTGGGTTTTGCTCTAGGTGCCCTGGACTAGATGATCTCCAAAGGTCCCTTCCAGCCTCAGCCATTCTGTGCTTCTGCCTGAATCATTTC